AATTGTCCTTAAATTGAAATTGCAATTCTGACTCATCGTCAAGATCTGCACATTTTCCTGAATGGTAATACTTGAACCAACACAGTACGTTTCACCACTGAATAACCGAAATAAAGTGGGAGCGCTCGAATGGAGCGACTGATTTCGACATTTTGAGATCTTATGTTGTAGCCATGGTTTCAAAATGTCAGATCGACATTTGACCCAACAACCCCTCTGTCTATGTCATTGTGTCAAAAGCTTTGACCCACAGCATAAAAATTCGATATTCTAGAATCTGACACTCTTAGAACTACTTCGACTTGACCTTTAAATTTCAGGTGAAACCGGCGGCTGATCTACATCTGAAGTACAACGGGAAAAGAAAGTTGACCTATATTCTGTAGTGTAAGGATATTTGATAGAAGATCTAAGGCAGGGGTGTGGTGACAGCTGATTATTCTTGAGAAATATGATCCTGTTGGGCACAAGATATAATATTTATATCGTAATATCGTAAGGGGGGGGGGCAGAAATTTGGGACTGGGTGGAAATGAAATGGGGTTTAATGTCCTACTGTTCTGCTCTGACTGGGCTAATGAAGCCGGGCTTGTGCTACGAGGGAAATGTTGCCTGGACATCGGGGCTACAGCGTATTCTTTTATCGAATTCCAACTGCCAAGGGATCTTTTACATGCACAGCAATATGTATACGGGACATTGGCTTTTGGTCCTATCCGAATGACTAGACAGCTGTCCTTGCCAGGCCTTCCATCCTGCACCACGGGCTGTGTGGAACATGCTAGACTCGATCACTTGAGAAGAGGTGTAACGCCACCTGGGTTGTGTTACTCGCCAGTCCGGGCTACCTCTACACACCAAATTTCAGCCTCGGGACAGCCCTAGTGTAACCGCCAACCCTGAACAGACAGTCAAATATTAGTATAGATTACATTATTTTCATTTGGGTAGTCTGCATCCAAAGAACAAATGATACAGTAACAACTATATTTTAAAAGTTCTCTATGGTCCAAATGGGATGAACCCCCCCACCACACCAAAAAACATACACATACACACAAAAGATCCAAATAGAAAGAAAATAAACCACATAAGATATACGGTCATATCATTTGAATTACATACGATAAAAATATATATATGGACATCGGATGATTGGGTGCCATTTGGTGGTTCACAATATATTATCGGTTGTCAGCCGGAATTGACAGGATAGCAGTCGAGAGATGCAGAATTCAGTCCTGTCACAGTTCTGTCAGTTCCAACAGAGATGGTGTGAGTAGAATCCAATCTAGGCCCCGAGTTCACAAAGCATTCTCAGGCTTAAAGGAGCTAAATCGCTAATATTTGGGATCTAGAAATTGACACAAATGGGGAGCAACATATACAATAATGTATTATGAATGTATATAAATTGATTTACAATCAATCGTTTCTATTTTTACTGTAATTTCTAATCAGTTGGGTTCGGGGAAATACGCCGGAAGTCTCAATCGAATGGAAATTTCTAGCGTCTGGTTATTCCAGCCTACGCCGATAGTATTTATTGCGCATGCTCTCCAGATAAGAATATAGCGTCACCGTTTGACATGACTTGTGGAATGTGCCTAGCTTCGTTTTTCGAGTCCCTTATTACCAATAGCGCTGAAACACATTATGGTACACGATTCGTGTACCAATTGTAAAATGTTTATTTTGTCTTAAATATTTGATATCAGAAGGCCATCTTTTCCCGGTAAGATCACAACATCAATGTTGATTTAAACCGACAATTAATTCGTGTTTTCAATGTCGAAGATTTTGGATGATATTGAGTTAGAGACTTAGTTACTTTAAGTTGAGAATTTACTCAGAATTGTTCGTCTTATGTTAACTAAATTATAACCCTTTATAAAACTTTTGTTGTTTTAATCTATCACATACATCAGTAAGAAACTCTATGCAAATGTTTGTGTTTATGGATCAAAGATTGAAAGTGGAGTAAAATCCTTAATTAAGTCTGAAAATGCTTTGTGAACTCGGGGCCGGATCCTATTTGGTTTCGTTTTTTATACTTCAAAATGTCGTTTTATTTGTACTACACTTGGATCTGGAAGAGTTGTTATATTACCTGCGTTCTTGATGGCGAGAGGAATTAGCCAACGAAACCATCTGTTACGGCGACTTCTTGGCTTGTGATGCACGGAACTGTGGATAAACCACTCGAAACGTCAACGTTGATTGATTAATTAATCAATGCATGACGTCATAGGGTCAAAAGCCGCTCGTACGACGTCTGACGCGACCTTCCACAACAGCCGGTCAGATCTTCATGTAGTGTAGGCCATCGAAAGTATAAAAAAATGAAACGAAATATAGATCTGTATTTTAATCAGATTGAGTGGAATCGTGAGGTAATTAAATACAACGAATATGTTTTAGCTGCCATAGTTGGTTGTAGTTTTTTTTCTTATGCATTCCAAGAATGCATTGTAGGCTTGTAGCCCGACCAAAATTTTATGATAAAGATCAGTATCCCCACAAAGCCACTGAATATGGCAAGAGACAAATGGTTGGCTGATCTAGCAACACTTTTAGCAATGGTATTTAAACATGTTTAGTCTGTAAGCATGCACGTCTGAAAGCCCCTGTGTAGTAAATACAGTAAAAGTATATGTTGAATAACATGATGGAATGCGTTAATAAGATGTGGTGTATATCAGTGTTGATATAAGTCAAGTTATATAAGGTATATAAAACATATAATCAGATATCCCATTGTGATTATAGATATAAACTGGTAGATATAGTATATTATACTTTAAACAAGAAACACATGTCATATTACTCCAACTTTCTACATTTGACCTTGGGTTTCAAGGTTAACATGACTTTAAGAACAGATTTTGTTTTCATTGGTATGATTAAGAAAATAAATAAATGAACTAAACAACACATATCTCACCCAAATACATCTTACGTAACAATACAACCCCGAACCAAAATTATCTCATGTATAACCTAACCATCAAATGTCCCACCAAACCATATCATGTCTCACCAAACCATCTCATGTCTCACCAAACCAGCTCATGTCTCACAAAACCATCTCGTACCCTACCTACCCATCTCATGTCACACCAAACCATCTCATGTCTCCCCAAACCACCTCATGTCCCACCAAGCCATCTTGTACCCTTCTTAACCATCCCATGTCTCACCAAACTGTTTCATAACCCACTAAACCTAATGTCTCACCTAACCCATCTCATATCTCACCCAACCACCTCATGTTGCACCACACCATCTCTTGGCTCACCAAACCATCCCATGTACCACCACACCATCTCATGGCAAAACAAACCATCTTGTGTTTCACCTAACCACTCCATGTCCCACCTAACTATCTCACTAACCCATCTCATGCCCCAACTAACCATCTCACCAAGCCATCTCTTGTCTTACCTTACCAACTCATGTCTCATTTCATGTCACATGTCACATCTCATATCCAACTAGCCATCTCATTTCTCACCAAACTATATCCTGTTTCACCCATCCCATGTCACACCAAACCATCCCAAGTTTCACCAAACAATTTTATTTCTCACCAATCCATCCCAAGTCTCACCTAACCATCCCATTTCTCACCAAACCATCCCATTTCTCACCCAACCATCAAATACCTGACCAGACAATCACATGTCGGACAAAGCCTTATCTCTCCAGATCATCTCAGATTTAATCAAATCCTCAAATCGTACCATGTCTCGCCAGGCCACTTCATAGCATATTAGGCCTCCTTCCACCAACTTGTGTTTCATATAACCATATCATATTACATCAGCCTTTATTGATCTCTCTTGGTCATCCAACAATGAATATTACACATATAGATTTAGCTTTTGACACAGTGACACAGTATTTTGGATTCAAGGTGTATGATCATATTTATTTTCTATGTTTTTATCTTCAATGAGTGAGTGAACAATTTTTGTCTACCTTGCTTTGCATCGCAACTGACAAGAGATCTTTAACGTGCACAACAATGGTTTAATTGGGTTTTAAATAAAGGCAAGACAAAATCGGTATGTTTGACTTAAAGGTAGAGAGAGAGAGAGAAATGGGGTTTAACGTCCATTCGACACCAAACTAGGTCATTCCGCGACTAACACATGGTTCAATTTTATTTCAATAATTCGCTTGAGCGTAGGGGCCTTAAGCAGTAGGGAAAACCGGAGGACCCAGAGAAAACCCACGAGGTTGGACAGGCGACCCTACTCCTTGTCTCGTATAACCGGGGAATCTCACTTAAAGGAGGGAAGTCTCTAACTCAATATCATCCACAGTCTTTGACATTGCAATTTAAATCAACATGGAGGTTGTTATCTTACCGTGAAAAAATGGGCTTCTGATATCCAATATTTAAGACAGAGAAATGGGGTTTAACATCCACTCGGCACAAACTAGGTCATTTCGGGACTAAACAATATTTAAAACAAAATGAACCTTTTTAAAATTGGCACATGATGAATTGTGTGCCACAATGCTTTTGAGCGCATTTGTAATGAAGTGACCCATGAACGAAGGTTAACCGTATCCCAGAGGAGAATACTACCGCTGGTGTAGACAGGAATAACCAGATGTCAAAGAAGGAGAGAGAGAAATTAGGTTTAATGTCCACTCCCACTCGACACAAACTAGGTCACTTTGGGATTAACATATGGTTCAATTTTATTTCCATAATTCGCTTGCGCGTATGGGTCTTTGGCAGTGGGAGGAAACCGGAGGACCCGGAGAAAACCCACAAGGTTGGACAGGCGACCCTACTCCTTGTCACGTACAACAGATTCGAAACCACGCCAGTTGACTCAATGACAGACTTAATGATACAGCGCGCACGTGCTAACCACTAAGCCATCCAACCCCCCACCAGATGTCAAAGACTGCCATTCAATTTGTACTCTTTGTGTATTTCGTGGAACATAACTGATTAGAAATTACAGTAAAAATAGAAAGGATTGAATATAAATCAGTTTATATACATTCATATTACATTATTATATACGTTGCAACCCATTTGTGTTCATTTCTAGGTGCCAAATAATAGAGATTCAGCTCCTTTAATCTATAGGAATATAAAAACTTCAAAGTTTAGGACAGAAAACAATGTGAATTGTATAGAAATAAAACTTCACTACATAATAATAATATCTCATTTTATATAAATGATACAATGTTTGCATATGTCATATAATGAGCCATCTGGAAATCTTAACAAATTGTCTTTAGTTTCTATATTACTTTCAAATGAATTTTGGAATTTTTCCCATATTAACTGACGATAATATACTGTTAGCAGTAGTAGGTGTAGTAGCCAGGATAAGCTTACTCCTAAGACACAAGATATTGCTATTCAAAATAAATGATTTCATCGGGATATAGCCCACTAATCATTACTTGATTTATTTTTTTTATCAATTTAATAAATTCTTTTGTCTCCCTGTTAGGATCCTTTGTTCCACTTACAAACACAGTTTTGTCAGGCAATGAATCTACAACCATCGACATCTTCATTAAGTATCACTTTCAGGGGCAATAATTAAGGATAAAATTGATGTGTAAGTCTGAATTTCAACAGGGTTCCTCCTCCTGTTGCACAATTTTGGCTCTCATAACCTCTGAAGTCTGAGAATGGCAATAAATAAGCATAAAGTTGATATGTAAGTCTGAATTTCAACAGGGTTCCTCCTCTTGTTGCACAATTTTGGTTCTCATAACCTCCGAAGTCTGAGAACTGATAGACAGAAGTCATTACAAAAAAATTATAAAACAATAAAATAACTGGAAGTTTTTAAGCCTGATGGACATGATTTAACGAACTATATAAAACAGTGAAATATTGTGATGATACTGGGGGCTTATAATAAATAATTGAAAGGTACAACAACTCAATATTTTGATTTGAAATTTTCTCACAGCGTAAACAGACTACATGTATAAGTTTATTGTCACATTTTGGCTTTTGATTTACATCTGTAAAGCCACTTTAATTTACAATGTCCTGTGAATTCTGGGAGTGTTCCTTTAACCAATCAATAAATGACGTCTATTATATAAATATAGAAATTTATATTTCACGTTTCACATGATCTCCGTACACTCATTTCCTGGTAAAAATAAGAAAGAAGAAGAATGAATATCTGATATTTATAGAAATGAAATGGGGTTTAACATCCTACTGGTCTGCTCACATTACTCCTGTTGGTGCAGAAATGCAAGACATTAAATCCCATTTCATTTCTCCACTGAAAAATTTGAATTGAACTCAATTAACTACAGTTCTGACTAGATCTGTGAAATAAATGAAATGAAATGAAATGGGGTTTAAGGTCCTACTGTTTTGCTCCGAGAGAGAGTGAAAGAGAGAAATGGGGTTTAACGTCCACTCAACACAAACTAGGTCATTTCGGGACTAACATATGGTTCAATTTTATTTCCATAATTTGCATGTGCGTAGGGATCTTTAGCAGTGGGAGGAAACCGGAGGACCCGGAAAAAACCCACGAGGTTAGACAGACGACCCTACTCCTTGTCACGTACAACAAAGGAATCGAAACCTCGCCAGTTGACTCAATAACAGACTTTCTGATAAAGCGCGCACATGCTAACCATTCAGCCATCCAACCCCCGTTTTGCTCCGAACTAGGCTAATGAATACAGGCATTTTCCATACAGTGTGCTATGAGGGAAATTTTGCCCGGACAGCAGCATTACGGCTTACTCTTATATCAAATTCCAACTGTCAAGGGATCTTTTACATGCATGTCAATGTGTACCGATTGACTAGACAGCTTCCATCTGAACCGAGATATCAGCAATTCAATTTTAGGCTAGCCTCGAACATCATTACTAAATTTGGCAAAATAATAAACAAAGTCTTGATTATTCATTTTTTCGTTAAATTATCCATCACAAAATGTTTTCAAATCTATTAAATATCACAGGCTAACGACTGCATGTTTAAATCTAGTTAACCCAAACAAATCAACTTACCCATGAATTCAAGAGAGCTGACAGTGAAAATTTGTTGGACATCTTTAATAACGATCTCTCTAAATTCTGCTGAATTTCTTGAAAAAATGGAGTAGCATCTGCAAGTAAAATCATATAAATTATATATATTGTTTAAAATTTCTATCTTGTAGGTTTCAATCTGATTAAAACACGGATCCTATTTCGTTTTATTTTTTATAGTTCAAAATTTCGTTTAACTTGTCTTTACTACACTAGGATCTGGAAGAGTTGTTATATTACCAGTGTTCTGGTTAAAGTGAGGGGGTAGTCAATGAAACGGTCTATTACAGCGAGTTCTTGGCGTGCGATGCACCGAACTGTGGGTAATTCACTAGAAATATCAACGCTTATTGATTAATCAATGCCTGATGTCATAGGGTCAAAAGCCACTTGTACGAACCCTGACACAACCTTCCAGTACAACTGGTCAGATTTTCATGTAGTGTAGGCCATCGAAAGTATAAAAAAAAACGTAACGAAATATAAATCTGTATGTTAATCAGATTGTGTATGTTTAGACAAAGCAGAACAAGCTACAAGGATGGTTAGTTGGTTATTTGAATCAACTTCAATTAAAACAAAGATTGGTTGCTAGGCAATGAAACTGACGCCCACAGCAGCTACATTTAAATTGTCCTAGCAGTTCACAAAGGTTGTCTCGTTGTTAATCTTTAGGTTAATGTTCATAAAATGCAAAATCTTGAATTTCAATAGGCTTCATCATTTCACTAATTTGAATACAGAGCATCAATTTCCAATCCCCCACTTGTTGTTTACTGACAAGGGGGAACCAGGTCGGAAAATCCTCATGAACTTTCACGGCCAACGTAGGAATCGAACACAGGGCCTCCAGGTTAGCTAGCCAACATCCTACACCCAGAGCCAACTATATACCAAATTTTGCCAAAATCTGTTGAAAAATGTAAAAGTAATAATTTAAACTCATCTGAGAACAAAAAGACATTAAGCATCAGCCAGAGTCAAGAGAGTTTGTCTAGGTCTTGTTCTGATTAAAAATTCTGTATCTTAAAAGATGTGTTTTAGCCATATTTTACAATGATCAAAGCAGTTCTTCCACTTCAAAATTTTCATTGACGGTCATTTTTGAAAACGGACGAAAACTTTGAAAAATAAATTCATATTTCATGCTTTTTATTCATGGTGGGTTATTGTGAATTAACATGTCTATCCCACTTTGTCAGCATGGCATACACAAAAAAATATATATATTGGACTTAAAAATAAAATATTAGTAGGGTTTATAAATGAAATAGGGTGGATGGCCGAAGGTTAGCACGTGTGTGTTGTATCATAAGGTCTGTCATTGAGTCAGCTGATGTGGTTTTCATTCCCTGGTTGTACGTGACAAGGAGTAGGGTCGTCTGTTCAACCTGCTAAAGACCCCTACACGCAAGCGAATTATTGAAATAAAATAGAACCATGTATTAACATTTAACGTTGATTCAAAACTCATAAGTAGGGTGTGATGGCCGAATGGTTAGCACGTGCGCGCTTTATCATAAGGCCTGTCATTGAGTCAACTGGCGTGGTTTCGAATCCCCGGTTGAACATGACAAGGAGCAGGGTCGCCTGTCCAACCTCGTGGGTTTTCTCCGGGTCCTTCGGTTTCCTCCCACTGCTAATGACCCCTGCGTGCAAGCGAATCATTGAAATAAAATTAAACCATACGTTTGTCCCGAAATGACCTAGTTTAGTGTCAAGTGGATGTTAAACCCCATTTCTCACGTTTTCTCTTATAAATCAAATACATGTATTCCCTTTTGGCTATTTACCAATAAATAGCTTATACTATCAAAGGCATAACATACAATAGATTCTGGATTTTTTCCCATATTAATTGATGCCAATATACTTTAAGCCAAACACATGCTAGTACATATGCTAATACATATGGAAATCATTCAATTAAAATTCACTGATATAATTTAAATCTGTCTGCAGATTACAACCTAAATCAACTAAATGAAAAGGCAGACTAACAATTAAGAGTTTAATACATCAACTAAATGATGGTTTCATCATTTATTTTACTTAATTCTTCAGCTGTTGAGTTCTATAAAAGCATGACAACTGTTGATAATGTTTAAAACTGTTTGACTTATAATAAAATAACAAAACAGCTACAAAACAACAAACTGACTAAAAAATATTCAATGATGAAGACAGATTGGTTTTGTAAATTAGGAATACAGAATGGTTTCTGGAATGAGTATACATACACACTAAAAAGAGAGAGATAAAGATCGGGTTTAACGTCCACTCGAAATAATTTAGGTCAGGGGAGTTTTAGGGGTGGGAGGAAACCAAAGGACCCAGAGAAAACCCATGAGATTGGACAGGCGACCCTACTCCTTGTCACATAGAAGTGGGGAATTGAAAACCACACCACTTGACTCAATGCATTGGCTAAAAAACTTCATCTGGATTTTCCGACGTGGTTTCCCCCTTGTCAGTGGTGCAGGAAAGAGGGCTTGACAAGGACAGCTGTCTAGTTGTTGGGATGGGACAAAAAAACGAGGTCCCGTGTACACATTGGCATGTACATAAAAGATCACTTGGCAGTTGGAATTCAACATAAGATTAGGCCATAGTGCCACTGCCCGGGCAAAATTTCCCTCAAAGCACACTGTTTGCTGGCCATCTTCATTATCCCAGTTTGAGCAGAACAGTAGGACATTAAACCCCATTTCATTTCACAAGATACTCTCTCCAGGCGCGGATCCAGGGGGGGGGGGGGGGGTCCAAACCACCCCCTGCTCAGCTACATAATTTTTTTTGTAAACCAACCTTTTTTATGAGAAAAGTGTCATAATTGTGCTTTATCCTTTATCGTCAGATGGTGCGGCAGGATGGGCACTCAAAGCGCGAGATAATGATAGACATATTATGTGATATCATAGTTAATGCTTTGAATCAATAAAATTGAATCACAATGTCATTGTATTAATTCATAATAAAAATTGACGTCAAACAGGATGTTGGATTTCTCTGTTTAAAAAGATCAATGTGTATGTATACACGCCAAAACGACGATAGAGACCATGTATTTCTCAAAAAATTTCAAGCCGGGGGGGGGGAGGAGGATACATTTTCTTAGGAACCGGGCAAACTCCCTCCTGCAAAAATTCCTGGATCCGCCCCTGCTCTCACACACTTCCTCTCAGCTGTTATTCTTGGATTCTTGATATGTTTTATTGTATTATTCATCAGTTGTGCAGGTATAAAACAGGAGTTAGTTTGAAAGATTAGGACAGATAACCAACTCAGAATAGACCAAGAGTCAAACATAACAGCACTGTTAATAAAATACTGACAACTTACCCAGGCTTTCAATCACGTGAAAAGTTATCCAGACATTATATTCAATAATCATCAATCTCTGTTAAATAAACACAACCTCACCATGTTTATTTAACACGAGAACCAGGAAACCTGACCACAATTCAATCATTATAAAGAACATTACTGTCACATAAACTTCCAGTAGAAGAAACCAAGCATGAATGAAATCAGGTCTCATTTACATGTACAACAGGAAAACGCACAATAAAAGTGCCTCAGAAAATCAACCACAATAAAATACAGAAATAAATTTTAACAATTTCGCAACCTGTAATTGTCTGTAAATCTTAGTGATTTCAATAGTAAATTCTAGTGATTTCAATAGTAAATTCTAGTGATTTCAATAGTAAATCCTAGTGATTTCAATAGTAAATCCTAGTGATTTCAATAGTAAATTCTAGTGATTTCAATAGTAAATTCTAGTGATTTCAATAGTAAATTCAATAGCAAATCCTTTTGATTTCAATAGTAAATTCTAGTGATTTTAATATTAAATTCTAGTGATTTCAATAGTAAATTCTAGTGATTTCAATAGTAAATCCTAGTGATTTCAATAGTAAATTCTAGTGATTTCAATAGTAAATTCAATAGCAAATCCTTGTGATTTCAATAGTAAATCTTAGTGATTTCAATAGTAAATCCTAGTGATTTCAATAGTAAATTCTAGTGATTTCAATAGTAAATCCTAGTGATTTCAATACTAAATTCTAGTGATTTCAATAGTAAATTCTAATTCTAGTGATTTCAATAGTAATTCATCCATGCTTTGTGGTATATGTGCATAACACCTGTCACACTTTGTGAAACTCGGATCATAAAGCCAAACATTGTCATTATCATATTTAACAAATAAATTTCTGTCGACAGGATATAATGAGCCTTCTATTGGAGTTTTTATTGGGGTCACAATGAAAATTCAGTAAGCTAAAAAATAAACGGCTTTCAGTGGTCTCTGGTGACTGAAAAAACATTTTAAAAGAGCGAGAGAGAAATGGTGTTTAATGACCACTCGATACAAACCAGGTCATATCGGCACTAACATATGGTTCAATTTTATTTCAATAATTCACTTGCCTGTAGGGGTCTTTAGCTGTGGGAGGAAACCGGAGGACCCAGAGAAAACCCACGAGGTTGGACAGACAACCCTACTCCTTGTCACATATATGGGGAATCAAAACCATGCCAGTCGACTAAATGACACCTATTGATACAATACACACACGCTAACCATTCGGCTATCCACCCCCACCCCCCCAAAAAAACCATTTTGAGATACATACATTTAAGTTTCAGTTTTTGGCATGATTTTTGTCAGACTGAAAGTAGAGGAGAGCAATTATATAATATAACATACAAATATGTTATTTATAGAATTAATCTGTCAAACATATTAGACAGAAAGTTTATTTATATATCTCAAGTACAGGTACTTTACTCATCACAAAACATGTCTATTCAACATGGCAGATTTATTCGGCAATAAATATTTTTAAATTAAACTAAAATGATAGGCATTTTGATATGCTACCCTGATCTGACAAAAAGAAGGAAAAACAAAAAAAAAATAAACATTTGTAAAAAATTAGACTAAATTGTACCTCAATTCCCTTTTTTGAGTAAAATTAGATTTTGTTACTTACTGTTCTTCATAACATAATGTAAGGGAGTATAGTCAGTAAGAATTGTTGAAGTTTTGTTAACACTAAAGTGGTAA